CCTATTTCACTGTGTCGCAGTGAAGGATTTGCTTGTTTAGTTTCTGTGTGGCATGTCCTTGGTGTTGTGTGTCGCAGATCTGGGACACTGCAGGACAAGAACGGTTTCAGTCCCTGGGTGTGGCATTTTACCGTGGAGCAGACTGCTGCGTGTTGGTGTTTGATGTCACAGCGCCCAACACCTTTAAGACGCTGGACAGCTGGCGGGATGAGTTCCTGATCCAGGCCAGTCCCCGTGACCCAGAGAACTTCCCCTTCGTCGTCCTGGGCAATAAGATTGACCTGGAGAACAGGCAGGTCAGTCCTGAGCTCTTGAGACTCAAATTCAGTGATGCAGACATCCAGCAGAAATCAGAAATCAGAGGTTAATGTGTTGTGGTTCAATCATAGACCCTCATCCAGGAGTCCTTTTTATGAGCACAGCAGGATTGTCACAATGTGTGAAGAAAAGAGGACTGAGGCTGCACGTGTAGATTTCAGCATGCGTCTTCATCTCAGTGTGTAGGCTGACAGTGTTGAGAATCTGAGCAGTGATGCAGTATCTGTCTCTTGACCAGGTAACAACGAAACGTGCCCAGGCCTGGTGTCAGAGCAAGAACAGCATCCCGTACTTCGAGACCAGCGCCAAGGAGGCCATCAATGTGGACCAGGCCTTCCAGACCATTGCCCGCAACGCGCTCAAACAGGTGCGGACCTCCTGGGAGAATGATGCATTTCTTTTTTTTCCACTCCTCTACATTTAGCAAACATGTAAATTGGAGACAAATAAGCCAACTAGCTAGAAGATGAGGAGTTAGACAAGGTGGCAGTGGAGATGTGCCAGTAGCACAGAGGTCTGAGAGAGATCTCACTGCTTGGCTTTCATACTTTCATAGTTTGTGTGGTCGATAACCTCGAATTTGTAGGGCCGTCTGCCCTTCACTTTATGAAACATGAGGATTAAACTTTTGTAGAGAAGTGACTGAATGTGGGTACTGTTTTATTGGTACTGTAATTCCATTTCGTTTTTTTGTCGCCTTCCAGGAAACGGAAGTGGAGACCTACGACTTCCCCGATCAGATCAAGCTGAGAGATGACAAACCCACTGGCCCCAACGATTCCTGCAGCTGCTGAGAGACAGGAGGAGAGGAAGGGGCAGAAGTCTGAGAGAGAGAAGATGGGGAAGGAGGAGGCGCTAGTCACAGAGGTGGAAACCCCTCACTTCTCTGTACATTGTTGCCTGTCAAAGAAAATTGTCCAAATCAGCATGCTGGATTCCAAGTCACCCATTCCTTGAAAAACTGTAAGGAGATCTGGAATACAGTCTGGGTACCAGAGTGGGAAACCCCTTCACACACAGTTCGCCTGCGGCGCTAACTTTGCACCAGTTGTTTTTTTATGCATATGATTATTATTGACCATGCTGATGATAACTGCAAATGACCACCGTACTTATTATAGTTGCTCAATCCATAGTTGCATTTGATAACTTTGTTCTTCCTTCATCAGTGCTCATGTGTACTGTAAATCTGACTGTAGAGGACATGCTTGCGATTCTGATGGCCCCACAGCCAGAGTCAGCAGACAGAGTCTGTCTCTTGCCAGCTCCTGTGCCTTTTCTGCCTTTGTGTTCTGATTATGTTTTGTAGGGGAATCACTTTTTTTTTTTTGTTGCCTTTGGCTGGACCTTGATTTCCTCGCTTTTGCCAACGTGTTTATTAATTTCAGCGTTGGCGGCTCTCGCGCAGATCTGCACTGTCGTGGGGGCACACAGTGTCGTGGGAATGGTTCGGTTCACGTCGGGCTCGTGTCTGCCTGTCTCCTCGCTTGCTTAACGCACATGGGCAGGACAGGCGTTACTCACTGCTGGTTACTGCACCAAAAGATGGATTTATATATATGATATTTATTGTGCAAATTAGCAAAGCTATTTTGCCATTGCATTCACCCTTTTGATATGGATTTATTTAAAAGATTGTTCTTTGAAATTATTTGCGGGTAAGGATGAAGGTTATAATGCATGTTGCACTCTTCAAGTTAAAAAAAAATCAGCAGATTCTGCAGTAAAATTATCAGCACGATGGATTGCCTTCGGTGTATAGACAGCTTGAGTAGGAAGCATGTGTGGAAGTACCAGTGAGACCCCTGGCTATGGGGTCCTTCTCATTTTAGCACCATTTGTGTCTACAAGGCACCTGGGTTTTTATACCAGCTCATGCTATTGCTTAACACCTGGGCAATCACTAATGTTTTTTTATCACTGCAGTGCCCACGATCATTTCATTCCCATCGCTTCGTTGGCAGTGATATTCCCAAACCACGTGCCAGCGAATCCTCCGACAACAGCTAAGCGCTTGCTCCAAGTCCTCAAAGAGACCTTTGTGTCTCCCAGTCCAGCAGCTGATCTCTCTGAAGGAGAAACCCCACCTGGGGGCACTCTGCACCGAGTCAGTGCTGTGAGATAGCGTGAAACTGCCTTTGACAGTCAAGACATTTTGTAGTCGCAAACACATAATATGAAGTTGTGATGAAGAAAACAAAAACAGGATCAGCGATTCAACAGAATGTGTTAGCTATCATCTCCATTGGGTCATTGAATAGCTTTGGGTTTTCATGTAGTTACCCTATCTTTGATTACTGTTGTTAACACTATAGAAGAGCCCTGATATGGCATGGAAGGTGCTATATAGAGCTATATATGGACTAACGGGGTGATTAGATACCATCCTGAGTCAGAGCTATGTTAAAAGCCTTTGGGCAGTGTTCAGAAATGTGTAGGAGAGTGTCTTGTTTCTGTGAATTCAGCTGATGATCAATTGAAAAGGAGGGGATCTGGTTTGAAAGAAAACAAGTCTGACTTTTTATTAAACAGGCTGACTTCCCGTAGAGCATGCACTGACTATTTTTCCCAGTGTGGCTGCTTAGAGAAGGCTAACTGACAATACGTATGCCAGTCTAGGTTTTTAATTTGATACCCCTCTGGCATAACCCAGAGCTGGTAGCCAGATACTAGAGTCCTGGAGATAGCAGGAGGGCTAGACTGCAGAGGCACAAGCCTAGGTTGCAAAGTGAGTCAGTCCTGCAGCACTCGGGAGCCTCTCTGTGAACCTTCTGACCCTTGAACTTTGAACCCCAGCATGAGTCTGCAATTGCACTGCACAGTTAACACCAGCCCAAGCCCCATGTTCAGCATTATAGTTCCCGTGAATGTAAAGTGCTGCATTTCCACATTTGAATAACTTGGTTTCAGTTCATGTAGTTAATAAAAGATGCTTATTGTATGTTTTTAGTTGCCTGTAGCCCAGAGATAATTAGGAGCTGTCTAGTGCTGTGTGACGCTTTAAGCCCCTCCTGTGACCCTGGAAGCATCCTGTGCAGCTGCAGGTCTCTTCCCCATCTGTCTCTACCTCCCATTTCCAACAGAGCCTCCAGTTCAAGAGATGGTTTAGAAAGAGGTTCTTAACTGTGATTACAAAGCAGCCTTGATAAGATGGCTTCTGCAGATGTTTTGTTTTTCCATAACATAATAGTTTGTTTTTTTTTTGGAGTGGTAGCTGTTTGTGTAGGACTTCGGAGATGAAAGCTCTTTTGAAGCTCAAAATCGAATGCCTTCATCACAACCCTCTGCACTGCTCGGGGCCGCGGTCCACAGCTTGTCCCCAGCAGGGGCGATCCGAAGCTGCCTGGATCATGGGGCTCAGGCCTGTGCAGTCATGGTCTCTCTCTCTCACTTGGTCTGTCTTTATTTGCCTTTGTATATTACCATTAACAGTCATTAATGTATAAATATATAAATATATCAAGATCCTGACTGATTTTATATATACATTATATTAAAGTTTAAAAGTGTTGTATGTAGGTTAAAAAACTAGGATTCCCTTTTCTTCAGGCTGAACTGTCTTATCACCTGTTAATATCATTGCCTCTTCGAAGCAGTCAAATAAAGGTTAAATGCCAACAAACATATTCTCCAGTATTGTGTTTGTCTTCCTTCTTTGCTTCTTTTCTTTCTTTCAGTCTTTGAAAACTAAGTCAGCTGTTTTAATTTTTTTTTCCTTGTATTTAAAATACATTACAGATGCTTTACTTATCCCGAGTCCACAGCAAAACCCTGACACAACAGTATAATGTAAGGTCGCAAATCTGCTTCATCATGTTTAGTTGGGGTTAGTATAGAAGTGCACCTGTACTAAAGACAGTGATCGCACAGTATTACCCCGTCTTGAATTTTAAGGGCTTCAATCAAAGGAAGCGGGAACTGAGCAGTGAGAGCAATTGGGCTGTTTTATGTTTTTGCTGCTGTAAACCATTTCAGATGTATAAAATGTAGTGACCGAAAGAAAGGTCCTGGTAATGATCTTGATTTAGATGATCTTTTGTCATCTTTTATTACTTATTGAGCTTTAACTTTTTCATTTCTCCCAAAAAATAAATGTTCTGGCACACTGCATTCGTTACAAGATAGAATAATCAAATTTACTTTTTTGTAAACAGTGGAAGTATTCGAATGCACATATAAAGTACAATTAAATCATTAAAAAATGTAAGATAAAATGATCTCAAGACCAACTAGGAAACCCTGCTGCTTTTAGTAGGACAATTAGGGAGGGCTCACCCTGCGGTGTGCGAGTCCTAATACCCCATTACAGCAACAGGGGCACTAGACTTTAAAAAAAGCACCGTCCTTCGGATGAGACATAAAATTGAGGTCCCGACTTTCCATGGGCATTACAAATCCCAGGTTGTTATTCAAAAAGAGTGTATTTCCCCGGTGTCCGGGCCAAATTTCCTCCTGGCCTTCACCAATCATGGCCTCCTAATAATCCCCATCAAACTGGTTTCATCACTCTGTTCTCCTCCCCACTGAGAGCTGGTGTGTGGTGAGCAGACTGGCACATCATCCAGGTGGGGTTGTGGAGGGGAGTTCCCATTACCTGTAAAGTGCTTTGAGTGGAGTGTTCAAAAAAGCGCTATATAAGTATTAGGAATTATATGAAGTTCACGTAATAGTAATAATTGCTTACACTTATAAAGTGCTTTTCCAGGATGTCGAGGTTACACCCCTACTCTTATCGAGAAACGCCCTGGCATTTTTAATGACCACAGTCTTACGTCTCATCCGAAGGACGGCGCCTTTTTACAGTATAGCGTCCCCATCACTATACTGAGGTATTAGGACCCACACAGACCGCAGGGTGAGCTCCCCCTGCTGGCCCCACTAAAGTAGGTGGCTGTGTAGGCTGCAGAGCAACAGGTAAAGGTTTATTAATAATAATAATTATAAAAATTGCTTACACTTATATACTTACATATATATACTTTCTGGACACTCCACTCAAAGTGCTTTACAGGTAACGGGGACACCCCCCCACCGCCACCACTGAAATGAAAAGAAAAGAGACGTAGTGTTTTGGCTGTGGAGCCTTCTGCGTGTGACGCTGAAGAAGGCTCCATAGCCGAAACGCTGTGTCTATTTTCTTTTCCTTTCCGCATGGAATAAACCTTTACCTCCTCCTTAGCAATTATATTATTTGCTGTCCCAACACACAGACTTTTGCTCCCGCCCAAAAAACACCACCCGAACAGTATGAATGACCTGCTCTGAGAATGAAAAGAAATCCTTTGACTTTTCTTTTAATATTTTAATGATATATTTACAAAACAGACAGCAGCTATGACATGCCCTCTCCCCGCCCCCCTCCCCCCCAGTACAGATCCAGGTGGGGCCTACGTTCAGCCACCACTTAAGCTTCTCCCACACGTGTTGCTGGTGACTACGAGCATCAGAATGACAAAGGCTGTTCTGCGGAGATATGATATGGGGGTCTCTGTATGTTCTGCAGCACAGTCTTTCCCCCTTGCGGTCATCCACAATACCAAAAGCATAACGGGACTGGCCAAGGGGGTGTAGTGTAAAACAACAGCGAGGTGCCCTCAATTCACATGTAGAGGCTGGTCTTCGGGCACCTCTGCCACACCTGGGGCACTCATTCTCCTTTGCTCAGCCAGATCCCCCTCTCCCCAACCCCGGCCCGGACTCTCAGTCCAGGAAGGAGATGTCCATGTTCTCCACCGTCTCCGGGTGCAGCATTCGGCTGGCCAGGCGCTCGATGTCGTCCAGACTCAGCTGCCGCAAGGACCTCTCATAATCCTGGGAGGGAGAAGATGAACTAGGGGGTGATTATTATAAAAAAAACCGTCCCGTCCAAAGGTCGTTTGGCCATTCATCCAAGCAACCCGGGTAAAAAAATGAACACTAACATCAGCTACCTCCGAAAATGAGTGATTCTAGATTCTCATTTTTTCTAGCTTAAGGTTTCTCAGATTTCTGAGCCTATCGCACAACGAGAGCTGCTGGTCAGAGGTCGGAGTTGGTCACATCATCCTGACTGATAACATTAAAAAAACACATCCAACAATCATGCAAAACGTCTTCTTCAGAAAGTGAAGAAGAACGAAATAGAAGAATCCTACATCAAATGGGATTTAGTATGTTGGTGAAGATGCTCTAGTTATCTTGGAGAGATAGTCATGAGAAACGCAATATCATTCTGTTACAAGCTGTGGTGTGATGTACAAGAGTACCATCTGGACCAGCTCTGATACCTTGATAAGTTGCTCCTGCACTTTGGCGGCATCGGTGGGAGTGAAATGTTTGGCCAGAACAGCAGACAGGCTGTGCCACACACTGGACCCTGCAGTTGCCCCCCGCGCCTCTCCTCCTGGCCTCACCACCAGATTCAACTTTGCGTCTGGCCCAATGGAGTAATCGCTCAGCTTGTGCTCGTCTGGAAACACAGCATGACAGAATAGGGACAGTGAGACAGACTGGAGCACAAGAACAGCTGCGCGCCACACGCTGTTTTAAAACAAGGCAAATGTATTTTTCATTTACTCACTGACAGACCACAACAGTATTGTAAAGTGCAATTACTTTTAATGTGTCTAAAACCAGTCTGAAATCACTGCTTGCAGTTTTGTGTTTGATTCAATGTCAATATCTCATAGACTTTTGAGTGTGTCCTAGCCTATACTGCACCATGTGTTTGCCCATCTCCCATACCTGCAAGTGCTTTCCCTTTGTACAGCAGTCTCTGCTGATTGGGAGGGATATTCAGTCTATCTGAGACCAGCTCCTTCACTGTGGACACCTTCTCATCCTCGGTGACCTGGCAGGAAAACCAGAGTTGTCAATCAAAGCAATACCTTTCCCTTCAGAATCTCGATTGCCAGTTCAAACGTGGTCAACAATAGGCAGCTGTAAAGTGTCTTGGGAGACCGTTCCTTCATAGGGTCGTCGCAAGAATACTTTCAGTCGACATAGTTCCTCTCAAAATCAACGTGAAAAAGAGAAGTAACTGCTCTTTTAATAAAAACCACAGTCTCCAGGCAACAGACTGCCCGGACTCTATAAACATTTCCGTTCTGGTAAATAACTGAACCGGCGTACCCTTTCGACAAATGGTGCGTCTCCCGGGTTTGACAATGGTTTGGATAGATTTTAGGCAGCACGCTACATTTTTTATTCGAAATTAAAACATAATTAAGCAGAAAGTCAGGTTTATTTATTGGGGGCAAACCCCTGCCCCTTACAGGTAACACTTAGGAGACATTCTGCTTATTCCATTCAGAAATACTACTTCGCCATTCTCATTAACGCAGGGCCGCAACAGCCACGGCATTTCCTGTGTCAGCCCACCCCACAACGAAGCACACGAGAGAGAAAGCTCCGGTCCGGCTTACCTGGAGGCTACACTCCTTCCCTTGTAGTGGTTTCACAGTCAGTATCATTTTTCATTCACGACGCCTATACAGTTAATAAGTGTCCTGAAGGACCTCAGTAAAGTTATTGTCTATTTATTTATAAAACCCTGTAGATACGCCACCCTCAGCATCTGGGACTGTGAACAGGCAAGCGGTAGAGAGCGCTACAGCTTTAAGAGAAGCCGGGTCTTCCTTAAAGGAACAGTTCACAGTTCTGCTCAATGAGCGGAAAACACTTTCTTTTCTATAAATTTCAATACGAACTCTGCCTTTTAATTAAGCCCAATGAAAAGGGTGTTTATACATAGGTTTGTAATTTTGTAGAAAGATTAAATACCATGTTTCCCGGCTCGAGTATACGGAGGTATAAATTGCGAAAACAAAACGACAAAGTTCTGCATTGGTCTTTCAGTAACCAAAAAAAATCTGGTTAGAAAATCTGGTTAAAAGAAATTGGGACGATTGCATTGTGTACAATACGCAGAGGTTTTATTTCAGTCATTATACGTAGTCATCTGGCGTTGAAAAAACCCATTTCAAAGCAGTTTAGAAAACAGTCTTTATTAGTTTGTATTTACACTGTGTACATGTCACACCATACACACGTTTCCAGTATTTACTGTACTGCAGTGCAAGCTCAGAAGCCTGTGTTGGATGTAAGACCACACTAACACCTAGTGTTGTTGGCTGGGATTTTCATTTTCCTCACGTAATGTCCGTCGTCCTTGTGCAGTCAATCAAATGGACATTCTCTGAAATGGCCCTGCATTGTACCCCTGCCTTGTTCCAGCAACCCCACCAACATCTCTCTCAACCTTTTGTTCTCCCCCAGAATGGAGGCTGATTTGCTGGACCACAGAGCCAGGCTGGGTCAGGGGGCTGCTGGGGGTCCGAACTCCTCCATAGTCTCCAGAACCAGTGCCAAGTGATCCATGAACGACCCGACTGACACTCTCAGAATCCTGGCCTCGTCCGCGGCCCAAGTCCTGGCAGAGGCAGACAGAGAGAGGGAGGTCAGTCCAAAGACTATGGACTCTAGCTTCTTCTGTGCATCTTTTTCAGTTTTTACACACACACGCACACACACAGAGAAACAAGAATAAAACAAAATGCCACAACAGTGTCAGACAAGAGCGATATTCCAAGTAAATTTTCTTACAACTGCTTTGGAGTTTTTCAGATTTTGACCTACCAAATTTCAGAATCGCCAATTGTTATTTTATGTCTCAGCTACAGCAAACCGCTCCTCTGTACCAGATGGGGGCAAATGAGGACAGGCAAACAGGTTTCTCGGGCTCCTCCACCCACTGTTCGCTCAAGAACAGCTGTGCTCACAGTTTCCCAACAAGGTATTTCTTCACTTGTTGTCCAAACAAGTATTTTCCATTTACTCTCTGACAGACCACTATGTTACTACAGTACTGTTAGGCACAATTACTTTTAATGTTTCTAATACCAGTTTAAATCAGTGCTTACAGTTTTGTGTTTGAAAGCTTGCAGATGGACATTAATATTCGTCTATATTCTGAATATGCGTCTGTGTGCTTCAGTCTCCTTTGCATCAGGTTCCACAGTGTCTGACAGGAAACTAGGGGCTGTCTGGAGGAGTGGGGTAACTGGCACCCAGGAAGCCGAGAGAACGCTAGCCCGCTAGGCCCAACCCTATCCCCTGCCAACACACTGAGCGCAGACTCACACACAAGGATCAATCAGCACACACCCACAAAAGCAGACAGGCAGTGGGCGTTACAGGCATGCGCCCCGACACGGTGAGACGGACTGTCGCACTGGCGCGCAGCCAGGCACGCCACCTGGTGGGCACTCACACGGACAGGACGTTGTCTGCCGCCCTCATTTCCTTGCCGATCCCCCCTCTGCGCGGCTCACGGTCAGGAGAGAGAGACTGAAGAGCGATCCGTGCCTCGCGCTCCGAGGGGAACGGGATGCGCAGAGCACTGATACCCCGTTAAAGAGAAATTATGTGACACGTCGCTGCTGCTGGGGTTCCCCTGAACCTCACTGCCACACCCTGGGGCACTGCTGCTCATAACCCTATGCCTCTCCCTGAGGGGTTTGATTTATTAATTGAAAACATCACATATTTGTCTGTACTCTGATACTCTCACCTTCCTGGCTTTTAGCATAAAAAAGCCCTGGGAATGTGCTAAAATGTGCTTATTTTATTTTTTTAAATTGATTAATGACTCTTTTTTGCCATATTTTTATTTTAACTCCCACTAAAACTTAGGTCTGCCATATATCCCTAATATAACCAGTATTCATCTGTTGTTTTTCTTCACCTTCTACTGTAACAGGAATTTCCTACTCTACTTTTACTACAGTCCCCTACTGTAACAGCACTGTCCTACTGTACTTTTACTACAGTCCCTACTGTAACAGGACTGTCCTACTGCACTTTTACTACAGTCTCCTACTGTAACAGCACTGTCCTACTGCACTTTTACTACAGCCCCCTACTGTAACAGCACTGTCCTACTGCACTTTTACTACAGTCCCTACTGTAACAGCACTGTCCTACTGCACTTTTACTACAGTCCCTACTGTAACAGGACTGTCCTACTGTACTTTTACTACAGTCCCTACTGTAACAGGACTGTCCTACTGTACTTTTACTACAGTCCCTACTGTAACAGGACTGTCATACTGCACTTTTACTACAGTCCCCTACTGTAACAGGACTGTTCTGCAAAAGCTACCTCCAGCCTTTACGCCTCCGTAACATCAGTAACTTACTTACAATGCTCTTCTAATACAAATCGATTAGTTTACTGTAGTTCACCACAGTTCCCTGATGTAAAACAGATAACTGGAAAGCACCTAAGGATAAGGAACAACGTAGAAAAGCTGTGCCTAAAACACAGGTGGTCTGATCATGAAAGCATAATACTGACACTTAACGTAAGCATGTCTTTGCCTGGCTGTACGGAAACAACAGTATAGCAGCAGCTGCAATTACAGAAAAGGAATAAAAGAAATAAAGGATGATCAACGCAAAGCCGGGGTCGGTTCTCAAAATGGCAGTGTGATAATTAACTAGCGATCATTTCGTGCTGATCAAAGGATACAATTCCAGTTTCGCCTGTCCGCTTGTTTCACTGCAGTGTACCGCCATCTTGGATGTGACATCACAAGTACTTTCAGCGTGGGATTTAGAAGGAGCAGATTCGTTCACACAATCGTGATAAAACCCCTCGTATTTTTGCTAAATATATCTCCGTGTTATTATAATTGATAAAAACATTTATTCTTCGCTACACGCTAATTTTGCACAAATACAAAAATCAATAAGACTAATCAAGTCTGAGTACAAAAATAAAACTCCAGTTCACAGAATGCTTGTCAGGCTGCGATCGAGTTGTCCTGGGGAACAAATCCGAAGAGCGGGGCCTGTTCGGATTAAACACAAAATATACCTTAACAACTCGTAATAGAACAAGACTGAATCCATTGTGATAAATGAAACGCTCATGAAATTGAAACCACGTTGCCGCTGTAAGAGATTCAGTAGACCAGTAGGGCGGCGCTCATCCCTCTGGATCAGAATCTACAAACCACCGCCCGGTGGCACTGCACCTTTTCAGGGCGAAGCTAAAATGTGTTTCTGTTTGGTTACTAAATATTCAATGGCACTGTTTGTAAGAGCAGGAATGTGAATCCCACTAACCAGGTGAAATTCCGCTCTTACTTTAAACCATCCGCCCTCCCCCTTGATTGAGGCGGTGAAATAATCTCCTCACATCCAGCGGCTCTGCCGTGTCAGGGCAGCAGATGAAAGGCTGTCGCCTGTCACCCAAGTGGAGTTGCGCTTCAGAGCTAGATGAACTGAATCCCCACCTACAGCACAAGTGAAGCGCTTAAGGATTAGAGGATAACATTCCATAAATCCAAGGAATACTCATTATTTGCAGCTAATACTGATCTCCATAGAGGGAGAGCTTCTTTCATGCAAAAATTACGATACACAACACCCGAAGAAGACAGGGACTGACTGTTTCATGGCAGGCAGGGTAGAGGACAGCAGTGCAGGAGAGGTACCTGAGTAAACAGGGTAGCTAAACCCACACCTCACTTTAAAAACTCTGGAAAACCCTGACCTTCCTAACTCCCAGTGGAGAGCATTACCCTATCATGCCTAAAATACGTTAGACTCAGAACATAGGGATTTCAGTAATTCGTGGAAGGAGAACCAGAAGCAGACTCGACGCTGCTTGGTGCCTCTTACGAAAAACAGTCCAGTTGGAGCGGTTCGGGAGCTGGTCAGTGCGAGTACGACCCACTGTTCACATTCTGTTCGGTTTAATAGGACTACAAACAGCGAACAGTCGGAGCGCGGCTTTTTTGGTCCAAATCGGAACACAGAACTTAAGTTAGCAAGTCGAGCTGCTGTGTAATTTAATATAACGTCTTGTCTCGGTTTTAAACTCGTTTTTATCCACGCAGCTTAAAGATTGACCTGTGCAATGCGCAGTCTGTTTTTTTAACCAGTTGGGTTGATTGCGGAACATCTTGTGTTCCGCGTTTGTCGGTTAAAACGCTACAACACTGCTCATCACGAAAACAGCGAAACGCTTTTCACTTCACATACAGTAGCTACTGGGAATTTTATCTCCACCAATTCTTCAATCCTTTAACTCATTTCAGTCCTGCAGTTCAGCATATAGACGTATACAATATTACAATATAAGGTTTCACTGGCGCGTATTATTGCAGCCGATGAACGACGTTCTTTTCAACCAAATATGTTGTGTACTGTACAGTATGTGCGTGACATACACTATGATAATCGCAACTACGATAAACTCATTTTTTAATCCATATTTTAATTTTCAATTTGTTAATAGTGGTAAACCAACACCCTATAACCAGAAAGCAGTGATTATTTTTTGTTCAGACTGTATATTGTGAGGAGGCAATGACTGCTAATTGCATTTTAAGCACAGGAGGTAAGACAACGCCGAAAACATTGACCATGTTATTAAATACAGATCAACGTTCGCTCATTGTATGTTGGGAGTCTCCTGCCTCAGAACAAGTTAGTATGATTTAAAAAAAACGGTGGTGTAAACCAGATGAGGCGTATTGTCGTTATCTTTAATTGAGAGCTGGAGGGAAGTGCACATTTTTCACAGTTCCAGCTGCCCTTCGATCTGTCAGTTACGTCAATAACGGTTCAACTTTCGGATTTTGCAAAAAAAAAAACACTGCTCGCCCTGCGTCTACAGACGTCAATGATCGAGCTACAAACCCCTCGTGTTCGGCATAACATCTCAGATGGCTGTAGACTCTGAAAAATGTGTGAAAAGCACCACAGCTTGTGCTGAAAGGCAGTCAGCAGCATCACTCTGTTTTTATTAAATAATGGGCAAGCGATTATAAGCATTTATGGCTTTTACCACAACCCCGGATTCGAAATACTGGACAACACAATTTTGATATTTAAATATTACACGTTTCCAACAGATCGGATGCATTGTCCTTCTATCTCAAAGGGTGTTTGCTCTCCATCATACAATTAACGTGAGACCGCGAATTACAGCATTTTACCACATAGATTTTGCTTACAATTTATTGCAACAAGATTTCTGTCCGTTTTTACACTACATGAAATCCCCTTTAACACCTGATTTCATCCCGTCGGTTTCCTCAACAGCTGTGTTGTACCAGTGTGATGCTACAATATGTAAATGTACTGCCGGTTTCAGGCTGTGTCTGTTTTGTGTGTGTTTGTATAACTGCGTGTTTGTGCTCGCGGTGTGAGGCGGAGATGCTGATTTCTGCACAGAATGTCAATTTGCACATTCGCTGGCTGCAGACTTGACTTCAGCATCCATGTGGAAACCACACACTCTCTCTCCCCCTCAGCGTGCGACTCTCTCTCTTATTTAACACTCACACAGGGAAGGCTGTAATGCGCGGAGCCGGCAGAGGTATGGTGTGTGCCTGCAGGAGTAGCGGACCTGAGCCTCACGGAATTTTCATTTGTATTACTACTAGTCTCTGTTGTTGCTTTCCAGCTCTGTGTGGGCTAAGCGCCGGTACCGGTACTCCACACCGCGAGAGGTTCGGGGTTCTGACTGCGGGAGCCTTCCGTAGAGTTGGCCGGAAGGCGAAAAAACAAACTACATTTTTTAAAAACTAAATGCCCCGCAACCGTACGCCCGTAACCAGTTTTTTCCAGGCTCGCTGGACACAACCGAGGCAGGACGGTTTCTTTGACGAGGAAAGGGAAGTCGAAATGAGGTCCGTTTGAAAGAAACTGGGGGTCTCAACTTCCCAGACCAACGGAACCCCCCCGTTTTTCGCTCAGCGTTACACTACAGCTGCTGAGCTCGGAATACACTCGACCAGACGGTATTTTTTTAACTGTGTGGACCCGGTTTTGACCCGCGACTGTCTGCCTGGTTTAAAACAGAGCGCCCGGCGGCGGATCCGGACTGACACACCTGTTCGACACCACCACAGACAGTGGCCTCGCGACGCCCTCCAATCGCAGCCGGGATCCAGTGGATCGCTGCAGGACACCTCTCTAGTGGCGAAGGGAGAAACCGATCTGCGATGCCGTGGTGTGAGAGCTGTTATAGGAGATTGAAGTGAAGGGATTCGGGTCCGACTCGTAACAGAGCTTTTAGTCACAGGTAACCCCCCGCTGAAGACACAAGCCCGCTTCGCTCCTCTCCTGCGTGCAACAGGGCTCAGTTCATATCGCACAGTTGAAAGAAAATCTGAAAACGTGGTTTATCAAAAATATTTTTTTTTTACGCGCCATGCATTCAGGGAAGTCAAGGGTTCAATTGCAGTCTTACAGGCGTATTGAGTGTGAATTGTAGGAAGGAAAAAGTCGTTATAATAGCATTTTGATGCGGTGCTGAATTTGCTTTCATTAAAAAAAGAGGCTATTTAGTTTTTCTTTTGTTTGAGGATAGAAGAAGTAGGGTTTTCTAGATTCCTGCTTCCGACTGTATCCGGCTTCTCAGTCCTCTGTCCCGACGAGAATAACTGACAGCGGTGGACGAGCGCGGATTATTAAAACCCCTGGAGGACGGATATTTAAAAGAGCTACTGCTTATTAATCCTGCATGTAATTACATTCGGCTTATTAAAAAAATGTGTGGTAGTGATGGTGGAAATGCATATCTTTGAAGAACCCCAGGGATGCAAAAACCTATAAAATAATTAGTTTTCCTATCTCTTCCTGATCCTCTGCACCTTGTTTCCTCGCTGGCGGGCTCGTGTGCATGCCGAGCGCTAGGGCTGGTTTTCCTGGATCACTTATTTCAGCTCGGCGTCGCTGGGGCGTCAGTGAGAGGGCCCAGTTCAGTCTCCACCCGTGACAGGCCGCTGTTTCACCGTGTCAGGGTTCAATTCAGTGTGTCAGAATGTCTCTATCACCGTGTCAGGGTTAATTTCAGTGTGTCAGAATGTAGTTTCAGTGTGTCACTGTGTCAGGGTTCAATTCAGTGTGTCAGTGTGCCATAGCACAGTTTCAGTGTGCAACTGAACACCATCTACTGCAGGAGAGAGGAGTGAGTGTGGAGGGTTAAATTGTCAGCGTTAAATTCAGTGCATCAGTGTGTCATAGTGCAGTTTCAATGTGTCGCTGTGTGAGGGTTAAAATAAGTGTATTGATGTGTCAGAATGCAGTTGCAGTGTGTCACTGTGTCTGAGGGCAGTTGCAGTGTGTCACTGTCTCAGGGGGCAGTTCCAATGTGTCACTGTGTCTGGGTTAAATACTCTGTGTCAAGGGGTGCTTCCAGTGTGTCACCATGTCAGGGTTACTGTTGGGAAAGGTTTTGGGGTATCACTTTCAGCATCAGTGTCAGGTTTGAATTTAGTGGGACTCTGTGTTGGTGTGAAACTCACGTCTGGCAATTCTCTGTGCCGAGCTCAGAGGCTGGGAAAATGTTCAACGGTGTTGTTTCAGTGCCAGTGTGTTAAAGTGAGTTAAAATGTCAGGACTGGTGTCAGAAATGAAACACACAGACACGCAAGCTGCTGACACACAGCTCACTGATTCCTCTTCACAGGTGTCTACAGGAGGTGCCTGTCCCTCTCCCCCGCTCTCTCAGTCCAGTTGCCCCATGGGGACTCTCAGGGACCTGCAGTACGCCCTCCAGCAGAAGATCGAGGAGCTGCGGCAGAGGGACGCCCTGATTGACGAGTTGGAGCTGGAACTGGATCAGAAGGATGAACTCATCCAGCGGCTTCAAGGCGAGCTGGACCGGTACCGTAGTTCCCGGCCCAGTCCCGGCCCCACCCCTCCTGATGAGCCCCTCCGCACCAAGAGACAGGCCATCTCCGCTGAGCCCACCGCGCTGGACCCACAGGACCTCAGCCACGTCAC